ACATACTGCTGTAGAACGGAGCTGTACGTGTATTCGATATTATTATATTACACCGGAGTACAGTTTTATACGTATTTATAATAAATATCGAATAAACAGCGACCACGCTGAGTGGATGCGAAAAAAACACACCATGGCACCGATCTCATGGGTAGTTATAATTTCCGTATTTTCTACAATAATATTACAAAGAATTTATTATTATTTGTGTGTCTTCCGATGCTTTTATTCTATTTTTCATTTTTTTACACCCCCTCGGACAAAAACCAGTAGCTATACGCGCACCGCATTATTAGGACAAACGCGCGATGATATAGCGCCCCTGCCACCCCGTCGTCGTCACTAAGAATAATAATCATTGCGGCGCACAGTAGCTGCTGCGGTGGCGGCGACGGCCGGTTCGACGGGTGGTTCATGTCGCGTACCGAATGCATAATAGAATATAATATTATATACATGTACATATTATTACCCGTTATAAGAGACCTAAGAGAAAATTCGTTTACCACTCGGACAGGAAGTGCGCAAGTATATATAATATATATATAAACGCCGACGAAATCGGAACAAATAGAAAAAAAATTACCTGTCGAATTTACACCAGGAAGTTTACACTAGATATAAATACACTAGGTAGGTAACTGAAACGTTGTGAAATTCGGACGTTAATATCGTATATAAAATAATATATATATATATATATATACACGTCGGTTTTAATTATTGTCGCCATATAGGTGTAAAATTTCGTCTGGTCGATGACACGGCGAAATTATAAATGCATCACATCGACAGTATTACAATTTATAACATCGCAAACGCACAGGTGGTTATGGCGTGGTAGTACAATTATTATTATTATTATTATATAGGTACGTAAGTATTGCACAACCCTATGGCGGCCGGTGTAAAAGCTTTACGCTGGGATGAAAATTGTATGGCGTTTGCTTGCTAAAAATTATTAATTATTATATGACGTGTGTATGAGTGTAATATTATATTGTATTATTATAATATTATAGTGACCGACATTGAGTTTAACAGCTTTTAGTTGTACAATATTGATTTGGTCGGCCCACGTGCTGCCACCATTGCATTTACACTATAATATATATAAATATTATACGTATATTATATAGATACATATTTGTTAAGTTTTTCAAGGAAATTCCACGCTAATGTCCTTTCAAACGTGTGTACTCGTATGGTACAATATACGATGCATTGCAATACCCGTCGCGGTGAATTTATATTTTATATTTAGATTTAGATGTGAAAGTTTATTTTCAAATTCCAATTGCGATTCTGTTAGAAATTTATAACTGCAACGATATACATAAAAATATATCACAAACTGATACATAAAATTAATACGAGTAACTATATAGAATGTGATAATTTAAAATGCATTAAACGTTAAACAATTAATATTTGTATAGACATAATTAAATGCATATTATTAAGACTGCTTATTTTTTTTCTAAAATCGTTTAAAATAAAAATTATATTGATCATAATCATTAAGTTTTTTTCTAATACTTATTGTTTTAAAGTAATTAATGTATATTTAAATAGTTATTAATGTTAAAATAAAAATAATATTTAAGAATACACTTCGTATCAAAATATACGTATGTATAATTATTTTCACTCTTATTTAAAATTCTTATTCAATAATTAAATTATATTTTAATATCAGGCTGCTCTTTAAATGTGTTTAATAAGGTCTATAACTTAATTATAACAATACAACAGTGCAGGTTTTTAAATATATTAATGTATATTGTATATATACAACATATTATGTATCATGGAAAATAAATTACACAAAAATAAACACGGTAAATAAATGTATTTGTACACAAGAACACGAAATGTATGCTTTAAAAATAAATATCAATTATAATATTGAATAATACAATAATTTAGATACATTGTTTTAGTTATAATGAACCATATATTTAATGCTAGTTATGGATACCTATGTTATAAGTATGAAGTTAAAACTAAGAATACGATATAGCTTTAATTTACAGGATTCATAAAAAAAATTATAACAATTTTACTTATATTAGACCGAACGCTAGACCAATATACATTGCAGTTATTATTTATTATGATACAAAGATTATTGTTATATATATCCTGAGATGATTATTTAAAAAATAAAAGTATTACCCAATCGGAAACTATTTATATATGGATGAGAAATCACATTTACATTAATTTTAACACACTATATCTTCTTTTAGATTTATTTTAAAATGTGTTATATTTTTTATGTATTTATTTTAATTTAAAATGAGAAATTAAATACCCGTAAACGCAGTATTCATAGTTCAGTTATATAAGTTACAGCAGGTTGGATGACCACTGTAAAACAGTATAATATAGGATCATCAACTATACAATTTATATATAATAGTTATTTATAATATATAGGTAATTTATATATAAAAACGTAAATGTATTTTGAATAATTCAAAATTTATGTATTTATAGGTAAACTTAAATATTTGTTAATTCGATAAAAACAAAATCTATTGTTAGGTGAATAAATAACGCACTTGTAACTTAAAAACTTTTAAAAAAGCATACAATGCGAAGAAAAAGTAAAATTAGTTTTACAAATCGTATATTTAAACAATCATTAATGTTGATTTTAAAATGTCTGCTATATACGGGCTTTATCTAACCATTATTATTATAGCGGGATTGTGAACAAGGAACGAGATGAGACGCCCGGCGCCTTATTAATAGTAATTCAATTAGGTTAACAAATTAAAAATATTAAAAAAATTCCTTCGTACTATGCCATCATCATTCATTAATGTCTAATGACGAGGCCGCAACCACGAGTCACGACCAAATAATATAATGACGGGACTATGTATAGTGCAACGGTCAAATACTATATCGTTGCGTATAAATGACACGTACATGGGACAATTGTTTTAAAAATGATTTTTATTATTGATCACTGCAGCAGTTTGAAATTACATAGTAATTCAAGATATTTATAATATTAAATGATAATAATTTAGTTAGGTACCGAAAGTAGCTTAACGAACACGTCTTCACCCACGCACAGCTATCGTATATTATAGTAAACATCGTTAATTCCGTTGAATATACCCAACTTCTTCCTAAGCTTTATCAACAACTTTAAAATAAAATTTTCGTTGAGTGATTATGATTATATTATATGTAATGGATAAGTGATTGATTAATATAACATTCGAGTGCATAAAACATTTATTCACCCTGCAATTACAATTTTGATTCACCGGGTGGATAAACATATACCTACTTTACACCTTCATTGTAATCGATCCATTACATCAGTAACATGATATTAATAGTGTATGCTTAACAGTTGAGGTCCTTGTACTAATTTTTAAATCACTAAAATTATTGATACCTATACCTCCTATTCATGACAGTAATATATATATATATATAAAATAGTTGAATTCACCTATAATATAGGTCCTATATACATGTTATATTATAATAAACTCACGTATTGGACCTTCGAGAGCAATACCCTAAGATATATCGTCGACGGATCGTCGGGGGGGATAAATTCTAAAAAGGTATTATATTATTATAACATATACGTATAGGCCAACGGCCGCTTAATTCGTATACGTATAGCGTATATTATATATTTATATATTATATTTATCTCATTTATACGCGCACGAGTTCCTCGACAGTCGGCACATATAAATATATTATATATGTATATATTAAAATAAAATTGCTTACATATTATAATGTATATACATCATATGTACATTGTACCTATATTATCTGAAGTAACTTTTCTTAGAATAATATGCAGAGTACTCATACAGTTTTTATAATTTATATTTATTTAAATCATTTCCAAAACCATAAGATTTTAAAATATTGTAAAATTCGTAATTTATTAAAACGTATTCTAATCAAACATGTTATATAATTTATAAAAATGACTTAAATTTATAAGCCCTCTCGCCACAAGCAATATACCTAGTTATTAATGTTAAAACATGTTTGCTTGTATTTATTATTAGGTATTTAAATTAATACACCAAATATTATAATGTACTATTTTGTCGTTGCTAAACAATTAATTAATATTATTGTTTACAACGAGTTGTGTATATCATGTTCTCAACAATAATATTATTATCGGAGCCGGAACCGCGGGCGAAGGAAGTATTTATATGAGCCGAATAACGAACGGTACGCGCGCGCGTCGAGCAGCCGCCGCCGTCATCGTCGTCGCGCCTTCGCTCGCTCACGCACGCCGCCGCCGGGAAATACAAAATACTATTCCGACGAAATTTGCATTCGTTATCTGAGGAGGTCCCGGGGGAACCCTCGTCGAAACCATAATAATAATAATAATATTAATAATATATTATATTATTAATGTTATACATCTTATATCTACACACAAACGCGTACGTACGCTAACACATACTGCAGGCACACACAACACACGAGTGATCCGGTCAAACCAGCTTCCTATTCAAACTGCCTACCACCAATCTGGTTTACACCGTGTATACGTTATACGTATATATACAGGTAGATACGCACAATAATAATAATAGAAAGAAAAAAAACACACACTCACACACACATGTACGTATCGGTCTATACAATCTCTATACTCTGGCTGCTTGAACGCATATACGTCTTATATATTATATATGGTGGCGCCTGTCCGCGACAAAGTTATAAAGGCGCCTAGTTGGCCGCGATTGCGGCCCGCGGGTCTAAGCACGAACACACACACACACACACACACGTATACGTTCGCCGCTATACATATTATTATTATTATTATTATTATTATTATGGCGCGCTACTGAGGCTGCACACCAGTGGTGCTTAAAATGTTATCACAATGATATCATAAACGATACTTGTGCGTAATTTATCGTAATACGTCGATTTAATATAGCGATTCGTATGTCATAATTGAAAAATTCAAAAATGCTCACCCCGGTCTGGTACAAGACTCTGACTGCGGACGCCTCGTGTCTGAACCTCCTCGGCTGTGGCTGTTGCTGCGGTGGTTGTTGGTCGACGGCGGCGAGTAGCCCGGTCATCGGCTGCCGGTCGTCGTGGCTGCTCTCGCTGCCGTTGTTATTGTTGCTGTTGTCAATGTTGTTGTTGTTGTTGTTGTTGCTGTTAGTGGTCAACTCCATGGCTACGCCGCCGGGCTCTAAGGACTCCAACGCTTCTGCCGCCGCCACTGCAGCCGCTACCAACGTCAACGCAGCCGCCACGCAAAACATCACCGTTACCGCGCGCGGTCCGACCATCACGCATCACCGGCTCCCAAAACGATTTTCACGCGAACCCTAACGACCGAGATGCTTCCCGTCGGCGATGAACACACTTGTCGTCGTGCGCGCGTGTTCCGTGTGTATATTTTACGTACGGTATTATTATTGTTACGGTTATTATATTTTTCTCAAATCTTTTGCACGCTTCGAACTCGACGACAGATGTCTAATGTATATAAAATCTCGATCCCACTAAAACGCGCGAAAAAAAAAAATAAAACACGGTCGCACTAAAAAAAGTTCACTGGAAATCACGAATTTCTCACGTAATTAAAACCGCGACAATACGCACTAGACGCGTTCGCGAAGGACGTCGCAGAAAAATTATATCGCGCACAATATCAACAACAATATAATATTTATATAATATTATAGTTACGTGCGTGTAGAAAAGATCGACGCGGAGCGGCTGACTCGTGTACGACACCAAAGCGCGTGTGTGACCGTTGACGATCGCGGTCGGTGTGTCTGTGTGTGTTTCGTCGTCGTCGTCGTCTGCTGCTGCTGCCGTTGCTGCTGCTGCAGTTGCCGCGCGCGTTTTCCCCATATCTTGGTGGTGGTAGGGCGGCGCGCTTTGCGGGACCCTGCAGGACGGGTGAGGAGACGGTGCGCGCGGGCGCACAGACGCCGGGTGAATGAAGCAGGCAGCGGCGGGTCGACGACGACGACAGGCACGACTCTGATAGGTGGGCGCGGCGTGAACGGCGCGGGTCGGCTGACGGCGCGCAACCTGGTCCTCGGT